GATAATCGAGTTGGTGTGCAGAGGCCTTTAAACCAGTTCAGACTGGATCCACAAAGAGTTAGTCCGGGTTCTCGGCTTCTCCTAAAACTCATTAGGGTTCTCCTCAAGCTCATTAGTGTTCTCCTGAAGCTCAGTAGGGTTCTCCTGAAGCTCAATAAGGATCTTCTGAAACTCAATAGGGTTCTCCTGAAGCCTGTTCCATTGTTTAATGAGACCTGTTCTGTTGAATCGTTCCAGTTTGGCCCTTGACCTTTGACCTCAGGTTCCCCATGGACGATCAGTGCATTCTGGTGGGGGAGCTGGACGGTGTTCGGATCATCAGCTCAACCAATCAGGAGCTGCTTCAGGAGGTTCCTCTGGTCTGTCAGGACATCTTCAAGATCGCCTCCATGGCTCCTGGAGCTCTGCTGCTGGAGGCCCACAGGGAGTACGAGGTACTGTCTATCTGAGGTACTGTCTGTCTGATCACCTGTCTGAGTCTCTGCAGGTTGAATATAATAATTATAATGAATATAAACAGCTGTTCTCTGTTTGTGTAGAAATCCAGTCAGAAGGCAGATGAGTACCTGAGGGAGATCAAGGAGCAAAGCATGCTGGGAGAAGCAGTCCGACAGTGTGTGGAGGCAGCAGGACATGAATATGACACCAACACCCAGAAATCCCTGCTGAGGGTGAGAACAAACGTTTGTTCCATCAGTGATCTCAGTGATCTCATTGTTCTCAGTGTTCTCAGTGTTCTTCTCTGGGTTCTCTGTGTTCTCTGTGTTCTGCGGTGTAACGCTGTATTCTGTCTACCAGGCAGCGTCCTTCGGGAAATGTTTTCTGACCGACTTCAGTCCGGATCCTTTCGTGTCGACCTGCAGAGAACTGCGAGTTCTGAACGCAGTCAGAGAGAGCGACGTGGGCCTGCCACTCACATACACTCAGTATCCTCACACACTGGTGCATCATGGGAACTGTAGTGTACGGGGGTCTTTAATCTGTAGTGGTTGATGGTTAATGAGCACTGACTACTAACGACCAATCGGACCAGTCTCATGTCAGTCTGTTACCATGGCAACGAGCTCCTTGACTTCTGACCTCAGATTCAAACAGATGACTCTACAGGTACTGATCGACAGGTGAGTCAGTCTCTCTGTACCTGTCTGTCTCTGTCTGTATGTCTGTCTGTCTGTCTCTGTCTCTCTCACCTGTCTGTCTCTCTGTACTTGTCTGTCTCTCAGGTTGGTGTATCGACAGTTTTATCCGTTAGCGATAGAAATCTGCCGCTACCTGAAGATTCCAGATTATCAGGGAGTCAGCCGAGTCCTCAAACACTGGGCTTCCTGTAAGGTAACCTGTCTCACCTGACTCCTCTTACATACCAGGGTCATATGACTCCTCCCACCGCTCCTGTCTCACCTGACTCCTCCCACCTCACCTGCCTGTGTTTTTTAGTCTGATTTACCTATAGATCCCACATGTTTGATGTGGTTGTGGGTGTGTCCAGGTGCAGCAGAAGGACCTATCAGACGAGGCGATAGCCCGGGCCGTGTGTGTGAAGGTGGGAGACTCACCTGGGGTTTCTTATTCGCACATTGCAGCTAAAGCTTATGAATGTGGACGAACTGAGCTCGCCATTAAGGTAACGTTGATGTTGACATCATAAACACAATCATTATACTGTATATACATTATGTGTGTGTGTGTGTGTGTATATACATGTAGTGTAAAAGCGCTTTGAGTGGTCAGAAGACTAGAAAGGCACTATAGTACAGCTCCATTTACCATATGAGTCAGCAGATATTTACTGTATATACATTATGTGTTTATATATGGAATCAGCAGATATTTTACTGTCTGTACATCTTATCTGTGTTTATATATTAGCAGATATTTACTGTCTGGTACATTATTGTTTTATATATGAATCAGCAGATATTACTGTCTGTACATTATCGTGTTTATATATTCAGCAGATATTTACTGTCTGTACATTATGTGTTTATATATGAATCAGCAGATATTTACTGTCTGTACATTATCTGTGTTTATGAGTCAGCAGATATTTACTGTATATACATTATGTGTTTATATATGAGTCAGCAGATACTTACTTTACATACCCTATATACGGTTTATATATGTGGGTTTCTGTGTCAGTTGTTGGACTTCGAGGCTCGGTCTGGAGAACAGGTTCCTCTGCTGCTGAAGATGAAGAGGAGTCAGTTGGCTCTCAGTAAAGCTGTGGAGAGTGGAGACACTGACCTGGGTGAGTCTTTTAGCCCCACCCACCACCTGTTTGTCAGGTGGATAATGTCACACTGATGGTTTCCTGTGTTTTCAGTTTACACGGTGGTGACTTACCTGAAAAACGAGATGAACCGAGGAGACTTCTTCATGACGCTGAGGAACCAACCGGTCGCACTCAGTCTCTACAGACAGGTACTTTTCTCATTAGCATCATTAGCATCATTAGCCTTCTCCTCAGTCTAGCATCATTAGCCCGAAATTCCACCGGGCACGGCTTTATAACGTCACGTCTGCGACACGGTTTGGCTCTGATCTGTTCTAAAGATTCCCACAAGAGCATTTCAGAGTATGTTGCCTGCCCGACGTCATTTATTTGTGTGTTTTGTCCTCAAAAAGGAATCAAAATGGGTTTTTTCTCTGCTTAAAATCTCGTCTCACCTCTCTCTAACTGACTGACTTCCTGCCTGGTGCCACAATGTTAATGTAGCGTGAAAATTAGCGTATTTTCTTGTTTCTGTGTCTGACTTCCCGTCAGTGTGATCTGCTCTGTGCTGCTTGTCTGCGCCGTGTATTCTACGGCAAGAATACGGTGCTTCTGGTGGAATTTAGAGCATTGCCTAGAACAGGTTACAGCGTTGCGACCGTGAATTTAGGGGTTAACCTCCTCCTCAGTCCCTACAGACAGGTATTCTTCATCATCTTCTGATTTATTGATGATGTTTTCTGTAGCACTTTATAAACATGAAGTCAACCAGGAAAAAATCAAAAGTGAAGAAGAAATGAGGCAAATTAGATGTCTGAAGGAAGGACTCTGAAAGTGCTTTAGTGTTGAAGATACCCCTAACCCGAGGTATAACAAAGTACAACAATGGTTTTTATTTATTATTATTTTCTCCAAGGTCCTGTTATAAGAAATTAGATTCTTGTATGAACATTTTTAATTGAAAAAGTGGTTAAATTGACCTTGTGGCACACTGAATAAAGTAAGAGCAAAAATAAGGCCAGTCGAATGGGAGATGATACACCTGAACTCATAACGCAAGCTCTCTTTGTTCAGGTCTGGATTGTGGCTGTTAATCTGTGCTCTGTTAAACTGCATTCTGTTAATCTGAACTCTGAGCTCTGTTAATCTGAACTCTGAGCTCTGTTAATCTGAGCTCTGTTAATCTGAGCTCTGTTAATCTGTGCCCTGTTAATCTCTGTTTTGTTAAGGCCTCTGCACACCAACCCGATTATCGGCCTTCGGACGTCGTCGGACAGTCGGGCGAGG